AAAGCTGGGCTGGAGCCAAGACTAACATTATGGAGAAGGTGTGCAGGACACCATGGGAATACTTCAAGGTAGTTTAGCCTGAAGGTTCCTACATGTGAAACCCAAAGCCAGCTCAGAAGCAAGAGGTGAAAAAACTGCTCTTAGAGTTGTTTAATAGACACGGGTGCTGCTGGAGTGAGACTTACACTAGTATGTCAAACAGCAGAGAACAGCAAACACAGATTTGATCACTGCCACTTATTAAACCAGGTTGCCCTGTGAAGCAGATCAAGGAGTTTTCCTGCAGTTAGGACATATGCCTTTAGTCTGAGTAATTGTGTGAGTCATCACACAATTCCAGAGGAGCATACGGGTTCTGGCTTCTTGCCTAAAGGAAAGCAAGTGCAACTACCATCTACACCTCAGAAACGAGACCCATTCACTAGGGGTCAGAGGAACACAAATGCATTGTGCACTTTGGCTGGAAAAGGCACTTGGTCACAAAATTTAAGGCATGTAATTGGAGGACTTTTGATCTTGCTAGTGTTGAAACCACTCTTCCTTTAGGGCAGTCAACTTTTTCCTATCTGCAACTCTGAAAAAACAAAGGGTAATGATGGTAGCAACCCTCTCTGGTAGCACAGAGCCTCTCATAGACTGAAGCTAATTTTTTACCCATCACTCCTCAGATAGATTACACAGAAGACACTCACTCCAGGGCTACACATCCTCACACTGCACAACTGCTCAGCAGAGAAGCCACAGCTTAATCAACTGTCAATCACAATTTGTGGTAAGTTGGGCCATATGGGAACTGGGACTGGGGCTCTGTTCCTAGTCCTGGCAAGGGAGGAGGAGGGAAATAGCACCCACTCTTTCTCTTAAAATAGGCACAGCCCACTGCTCAGCTTCAGAGCTCATCACAACCAGCATGTACTGCATGAATGTCCAAGAACTGGATTGCAGCAGCTTTGCCTACAAATGGAAAGTTGGAAACTTGTTCTCTTCAGAGATACTTGGTTTTCTAAATATAGTCCAAGTATTTCCCAAATCATACATTCAGCTGACCTGAGCTTCAATGAGGAAAAAGAACTTGGGTTGTCTTCTTTCTCATTATAATCTCCTGGACTGCTTACAGTTTGGTACAGGACATACCAACCTGCACAATATTAGTGCAATTTGTGTTTTCAGCAAATTAACCATTAACAACTGCCAGATCCTGCAGTGGTGGAAAGTCTCATTCACTGTGAATTCCATCAGTACTCACAAACACACCATTCTTTTAGAAAACCCTGGCATTACTGCAAACATAGAACTAAGCAGGTTCTCTTAACTTTTCACATAAAGCCTTCTCCAGTCAGTGGTAAATCCAGCAGAAACATTCTACAGCACTTTTTCAGTCTTCCGAGCAGGAACGCACTGCACATGCAGTTCCAGCAAATCAGCAAAGGTCTCCTTCCTTTCTCCCTCCCAAGTAGGAACATGTTGAACACATGGAATGAGTGTGCTTGCTTTTTATTCCCACCCTGGATGTCTCCAGTGTAAATAATCCTAAAATAAAAGAACCCTGTTTGCTCAACTAATTGTTCACCAGACTTCTAACAGTGCACATCTGCCTTTGCTGTTAGAGCATGAGGGCATAGCAACAAGTGACACAGTTAGGTTTGTTGCTGTATTTTTTTTACACTCAGAGTTAAAAATTAAACAAACAGCTCTACAGGGGGGGAATTTCAAAGAGCACCTAGAAGAGAAAAAAGGGAATTCAAAAAGCAGTAAGACTACCCCTTAGTCTTAGCAGTAAGACTAAGCAGAGGTGGCTGTGCTGCTCCTCAGCACAGCTTTACCTTCACATTTCCATATCAGCAATTAAGGCCTAAATTCCAGTACATAAAAGACTGTCAGCTCTCCTGCCTCAAGACAATAGTTTCTGCACAGCACATAGGAAGGCTCTTCCCCCTCCACAGACAGAGAAGTTTTACACACAGAAGTGTCAGCTACATGATTTGGTTCACATACACGTATCATCATTTTCACTTTACCCAGAAGTTGTACAGAAAGGAAGCCACATGTCTCAAAGCAGCTCTGCTGCAGAGCCCTGAGTTGTGGTTTCTTCACCTTGTATCTATCTGCTTGTGAATACTCTCATGGCACTCACTTTTTCCCTCCTGTCTTGGCATGCATCTCCATATCCCAAGGAGCGAGCATGATGATGTGGATGAAGAACATCCTCTGAGATCAGGCAAGCACAACACTCTTAGAAACAGCAAAGCTCTAAAGCACCAAACAGGAGAAAAGGTCTTGATCCCTCCTTTCTCTCAGCCACAGCACACCAGTAACCAGAAAATTTACAGATGGTTGATGGATCACAAGCCCACTCTCACATTTTGTTCTTGTTCCCAAGTGTTCCCTTGCTTTGTAAGCCTGGCCTCATGAGAGAGAGTAGCAGAGGGGAAAAGAGCAGAATTTATAGCATCATGAAAACAAATTCCTGTTTTCAGAGCCAGATCACTCCAGACTCGACTTTGTTTCAGAGGAGAAAGCAATTAAACTCATTCACTGCAGCCCTTCCATATGGGGAATGCTCTTTTTATTCAATTAACTTTTCTGTAACTAAGGTTAATTGCCTATGTGGTATCTGCCTTGAGTTATCAGAGGCTTCTGGTTAAACTGCCATCAGCACAGACACAGGAAGTGACCAAAAAGACCAGGAAGAGCAGAGAGCTCACAAGTGGCAGGTAACTGGCAAACACTGGCTGGTATTCCCTCACTAGGAGTTCAAGGCTTAAGACTGTAGCAAAAGGCTGCACACAGCCACAGTCATCACCCCAACTAGGTCATCCTTCTTCTTTCCAGCTCCCACTGGTTCATCTCACAAATGCCACCTGCGGAGCTCGGGAAGGAATCCCAGAATTGGAAGATCATCTTCAGAGATCATCTAGTGCAAACATCCTGCCATGGGCAGGGAGATATCTTCACTAGATCAGGTTGCTCAAAGCCCCATCCAACCTGACTATGAACACTCACAATTATGCGTATCCACAACTTCTCTGGACAACCTGTTCCAGTGCCTCACCATAAAAAAAACCCCTTCCTTATGTCCTACCCTTATGTCTACACCCTTTCAGTTCAAAACTGTTGCTCCTTGTCCTGTCATTACGCTGTAGAAAACATTTCTTGATAATTTTAAGTTTCATTTATAAGCTTTTCTATACTGAAAGGCCATAATAAAGTCTCTCTGGAGCCTTCACTACCATCAGAACCTGTTCTAGGCGTCCCTCATCAGAAAACTTCCTATGAAATTCCACCTTTATTTAAAGAGCTTTTATCTTCCAAACACTTTTCCGAGCAGGAGCTGGTTGCATGGCCCTCTAAGCATATTCATGGCAGTGCTTGGTGAGTTCTGCATTAAAAAAAAAATTAAATCTCAAAACTGAATTTTCCCTTCTTAGATACGCTCTTGACCCTATCTCTGCAGAGACTTCATGTTCCAGCATACAGAACCATGGAGATTAGTCCATTAAAGCTCCTGCTTAAGTTAAGGCAATAGTCTGTACTGAGCAGTCTGTACTTCATAGCCACAGGAACAGCTCAGTGTCTAGAAGTAACCTAGAAGTTGCATTTAGGAACCTGCAAACACCCCTGAGCAGCCATGTGCCTCCTCCCACTATGCTTTCACTGTAGCTCTCCAGGAGAGAAAGCTTTTTTCCAGAAGGTGTCCAGCAAAAAAAACCCCACACAGCATCAAAGAGTACATTGAAGGAACCAGATTAATTTTAACTGAAGTCAGTATCCGTGATGTCTCTGCTAACAAGCCACAGACAACATCTGGACTGCCAACAGGCCCTCTTCATAATACCCAATACTTGTAACATCTGAAGAAACCTAACTTACACCTCGTCCAGCTTCCGAAAGGAGGCTCAAGCCCAAAGTGTGCTTTTGGGTGAGACCTCCTGAGAACATTGGTGACACCCAACAGTTAAGTAAGGCTGGGCTCAGTTGCATCATAATCCAGAAACCCAACTGCTGGCCCATAAATACCAGGTGCATTTTATTACATAGTATACAGTGTGGGGAAAAAGCCATGGTTTCCATTTTCTATTGTTCTGTGCAACTGAGGACAGGAGGGAAGAGTCATCTACCTAGTTCACCATCTTTTGGTACATCAGATCATCTTACTCAGCAATTAACACCCAATCCAAACAACGGGGGGAGGGGGGCAGAGTTTCCAAGGTACCATTTAGCTACTTGACATAAACACGACAGAAAAAGTGGGGAGGGGGAACCCACAATAACTGGGTAGATATAAAGGATAGGTTTCTTTCCACCACCAAACAGACATGTGGTGGCCCTGGCCACCCTGCCCTGCAGCCTCCTCACGACACACCTCACATGCACAGCCCTGTCCCACCTCCCGGGCTACCAGGGGAGAGCACCCTGATCCTACGGAAATGCACAGTGGGGAAAACGGCACTTAAGAAGACTTATTAAGTGCACACGCACACACGCTCTCACACTCTCTTTTTTTTTTTTTTTTCAGTTTGGATTTTTTTGTGGGTTTTGCGTACGCACACACGCTCTCACACTCTCTTTTTTTTTTTTTTTTCAGTTTGGGTTTTTTGTGGGTTTTGCGGTGGTTTTTATCAATTATTTTTACTGTAGTACTATTATCCTCACAACTCTCTTCTAGGCTTCAAACGCATTCTGCTGCTAGAACTGCTGGAAACGAAGCCCCCCTCTGGCGGTGGGGGGCACCAATCCACCTGCCCACCCCGCAGCCCCGGGGACAGCGGCACCCTCGCAGCCGGCAGCCCCGGGGATCCCTGTCCGCGCCGGGGAAGGCGGAAAGGAGCCCGCAGGTGCACTGCGGCTCCCGACCACCGCGGCGGCGGCAGGATGCGGGCAGGACAGAGGGAGAGCCCGGCCGCTCCCGCTCAGCGGCGCCGGTACCTCCCCGGCACAGCCCGCAGCCCAGAGGGAGAGGGGACGCGGTGCTCGCCCCGCCGCGGGGAGGTCGCTCCTACCTGCCCGGGCTCGCTGCGGTAGGCGAAGGCGTAGACCCGCTCCGAGCTGATGTTCACGGCTCCCCGGTAGACGTGGCCGAAGGCGCCGGGAGCGGGGTTGTCCCCGGGGCCGCCCCCCGCCGCCGCCGCCGCGCAGAGCAGGGCGCAGAGCAGAGCCCCGGGCGCCGGGGCTGCCCTCCCGGCCATGGGCTCCTTCCTGCCCACCCCGCCGGGCGCCCGGACTGCGTGTCCCCGGCAGGGCGGGCGGCGAGGCGAGGCGCTTTATCTGCGATTTAAATAAACAGCTCGGCGACACGGGCGAGAGGCGGCGGGGGCAGCGCCGCACACCCCCGCCCCTCGCCCGGGGGACGCCGAGCAACTTTCCCCGGGGAAGGACCCTCCGGCGGGGCGGGGAGGGGAGGGAAAGGGAGGCCGGCCGACGGGCTGGCCAGCCCAGGGGAGGAGGGTCTCCTCTCTGTGACCGGCCCCAAAATCTGAGCCCGGTTTAGCAGCCGATTGTCAGGGAGCTTTTCTTCTTGGGGAGCCGTGCCGTGAGCGCAGGGACACGCTGGCATCGGCAGGCACGTGGGGATCAGCATCTGCAGGGCTTCAACAATCCCTGCCCATCGCGTCAGGGGCGTCCTCGCTCCATATTCTGCTGGCTTGCTGGAGCTGCAGGTCGCACCTGCAATCCTGTATGGGGCGCTCCCTAACCTTTATTTTTGGCTTCTCATAACTTTGAGATAAATGCTCTCGTCCTTTAGTTCAGCCTAAAGGTCTGAAAGACAGCGGCAAATGTAATTTCATTAATCTGAAAATGGCTTGGTGCATATTTTCTTTGCATAATCCATGAAACTGGCTACAAACCATACTGTGATGCTCTTAACCTTATCAGCAAAATGAGAGCGATACTGTTGGGTTGTGGAAAGGCAAGGGATCTCTCTCTCTCACGGCTTAATGCTCCTATGGTCTTCTCTTGAAAACACACCTAGGAAATGTGTCAGATCCCATAGTATAGGGATGCACTTTAAAGTCAGAGAAAATTGAGTGTTATTTATAAAGCAATCAGAAGGGTTTTTCCGGCTGAGGATAAACTTCCAGGAGCCACAGTTTTATAAAGTCAGCCTGCAATCTCCAACTGCAGCAACTCTAGCCCCAGAAGCTTTATACATGTAGATTTTGTTTTCAAGGCTGAGAGATTTCCTGGGGGAGGTCACTTGTTGTCTTTGGAGGGAAAGTTACAAAGCTCAGCAAAACGAGCCAGCATGCCTTGTGCTGCCATTTTGATATCTGGACCCTTGTGTGATTTCTGCCAAGAGAAAAAAGGAAACAATTGTCAGTCAGTTCTGTTCATCTTGAAGCAGGGTTCAAGTCACTCTGCCTTTTGTCAGAGTCCCAAGAAGTATCATTTAGGATAAAATAAACCACTTGCAGTCTGCTGGAAGATGGAGAACCCAAAACAAAGATTTTGCCTTTCAGCCTGCAATATCATGCTCTGCAGACAAGGAGACTTTATGACTCTACCTTGCCTCTTAACATGACATGGCGTGACCTGTCCCGGGGGACTTCCATCAGTGGTGGCACCGGGAGACTTGTGGCTTTCCCTCCCTACCCTGTAGAGTCCAATGCTCCTGAACCCTACAGCTCCTTCCTCACCACTGCTGTCTGCAGATACACAGGTCCCTCTGCCAGGGCCAGCAGCCCTCTAGCATGTGCTGGAGGGAGGACACTATAAAACTCATCTTCTCCCAGAGAGGAGACTTCAGACAACTGGAGGAGGTAAGGCAGCTAAGGGCCATGCCTGGCTCCTCAGAGCAATGTGACCAATGGCACAAAGATGGTGTTCTCCAAACCAAGGTAGCTGTGGCAGCTGCACATAATTTTTGTGTCATTTGGTGTCATGCATATTTCAGATTGGGATATCAGTGCATTGTGCCTCTCTAGTTGTGTTGGTTTCATGGCAAAAAAGTGGCTCTTCATATAATGCTCATTTTCCAATGCAGAGTTATGTTATTCTTAAAGTGCTTTCCCTGATTAGATGTGCATTATGGTATCTTATCAAAGACTACACATTTTCCCTCCTTTTTAATTTGAGAATTCAAGTTTTTTAAGTGTCATACATTGTTCTTAATTTCATCTCACTATTTTGAGGGTCTTTCTGTAATTTAGCAACAGTAAACCTTTGTTCAAATCTTTGCCTCCAATGTATGATACTTGGTGTTGCTTGACTTGGTGTTATTTGCAGAAGTTTGAAGTCAAAGGTGAACTTCACCATTCCAGTTGCTAATGAAAGTAAACAATCCTAGCAGACAGATCAGATCTCTTCGTTTGATATACCTTCCCACTGACAGGAAAATATCCACTGCACCAGTTTGGGAATTGCTTTTTAATCACATGCTCCTCTCATGTTAATACCATCTGAGGCCAATTTGCCTTTATGAGAGTGGTGTTCAAGACAATGTCAAAAGCCCTATGGAGTCAAAACATATTTCACCTATTCCTTTCAGCACTTAATAAGTCAGCTGTTTTGGCAAAGAAATAAATTAGGTTAGTTTTACATTATTTGTTCTGGACAAATGCAGAGTGCCTGCTGCTCATCACTTTACTGTTACTTAGTTGCTCGCACACTGATTGCCGAACAGCTTGTTTTATTACTTTTCCAGATTACAAATGCAAGTTGGCTGACATAACACTTCACTCAGACCCTTTGATAAAGATAAGTAGCCCATTTTTGCTTTTAATTACACCCGGATCTTGTTCTTGAAGGGCAGCATGTACTTTGGAAGAAAGAAACAATCCCTCTAAGAGACAGTACTCTTATCCAGATACACCATGGGTCTGGTCAGTGGAAATGATCTTTTCTTGTGTATGCCGCAGTACTCTGGCATCAAGAGCCAGCAAGGGCCAGATGCTCCTTAAGGGACAGGGATCTGAACGCCACAACACAGAGAGGGGAGAGTGGGGCAGAGCAGGGACCTCACCAGCCAGGACTCCATCCCACAGGATCTGAGCAAGACAAGCAGGACAGGCCTGGATATGGAACCAACAGAGTCGATTGCTATAGATTGCTATAGACAAGTCAATAGCAATGGGACAGTCTGAGGTCAACGTAAGTTAGTGACTTAGGTCTGGTGATTGCTGTCAGGGACAGACACAGTCCCATGAGCAGCAGGCAAGTCCCCAACAGTGAGGCAGACCTGAGGACTGGCCAGGAAGCTGGTCAGCAGGTCCAGGCCAAAGGGATACAGACAGGGCTGCCACACGGCTGTAGCTCCAGCAGAGCCAAGGACCAGAGCCTCACCTGAAATGCAGCTGCCTTGTGAGGGGAAGAGAGCCCTCGCTGGAGCCTCTCCACAGCTCTGATGCCCAAGTCACTGGAGGGAAGAGGGACAGCCCTCAGCTGTGCTGTTTTAGGTTGCCTATGAGCCCAGGGTGCCAAACCTCCAAAAAAGGGGATGATGATCTTGGGGCCCTTGTCTCTGGCTGCGAGGAGGGCATGTATTTAGTAAAAGGACCCATTTTTCCAGTATAAATAAAGCCCAGGGTTGTGAGTGTCTCAAGGGAAGGAGAACTGTGCTGGATGAGAGGCCCACAAGAGTGTGGTTTTGAGGTTTTTGTTGATTTTTTTTTCTCTATAGCAGAAAAGCAAAACATCTCATTGCTGTTGGGAACAAAAAACCAAAAACAAATCCCAAACCAATAAAGAAACTACATTTCCCCTGGTAACCATGGCTGCAAAAATATTCAGGATAGAGGATATCACACAGGAATTCCCTAAATCGTAGTAGCTTAGAAAGAGAAATGGCATAAATATATAACAAACCAAATTGTTTGGAAACCTGATGATTTAAAATTACTGTTTGCATATGTAGTCTCTATCTTATGAAAGTTCATCTGTGAGTTTATAGATACTATAGATGCTCAGCTGGCTTCTGCAGAGATAATGCCACATTTTAAGATTCTGCTGAAAATGCAGTGTGAAGAATAATGAGAAGTGAAATGTAGACAAGCTTTAAAGATGTCTGATAGAACCTGCTCCGACCTTTCTTATACGTGGGCAAAGTGCCTGAGAATACACTACTTGAATGAGAATTGTCTCTGGCTTGTATCATATTTGCTTGTATTAGGTATTTAACATTTGTATTTGATTGGAATTAATAATAGCAGAGAGGTTAAAGAGGTTTCAAAATAGATAACGTAATGACACAATTACGCCTTTATTGCTTTTTTTCTTCAGTAGGCTTTGTTCTTCAAGACAATTTAAAGCCATGTTAAGAGAGAAGTCCAGAAGTGCCCTTGATTTATTCTTTTGGCTTCCATATTTTCAGACCAACACAGATTAATGAATTGCCTCACATGGATTTCTCTTCCCACAGGCTGAACTCTGATGATCACTTTCAGGTGCACATGGTACCTATGTTGAGTGTCTAGATGGAAACTGAAGGTTTGAGGTGCAACCTCCACATTTGCAGCACTTTGTTAGAGGCAATTGCTGAAAGTATTTCTCAAATTATTTTTACTCCCCTTGTGATTTCCATCTTCTCCTTGTATCAACATGCAATACAATTTCTTCCCTCAATACATTAACCACTACCATCTGCATCTCCAAATGAATCTTTTTACAGTGATGCTGGTAAAGCCAGAATTGCATTGATGGGGATCCTAAGCACCAGGAAATCTTGGTGAAATGGAAGAAGTTTTGAATGAAAAGCTGACAAACCTTATGCCTTCACTTTCCAGCTCCCACAGACAAAACATTATGTTCACACTGTAATACAAAATGTTAATGGTAGCCTTTTGGAGTATTACATCATGTTTTCACCTGTGTGGAAGTGGAGTATCTGTAGCATATAATGGGGTAAATCTGTAGGGAATATAGTGCCCCCATCTGTAAACTCAGTGATTCATTTTGGAACCACCAGTTGCTTTATGGAAACCAGAAATTCCTTGTGACTACCGAGGTACACCCTTCCTCCGTGGCACAGCTAACGAGATCTGTTTGTTAAATTTAAACAAGGGCCACTCTTTAATTTCGTATCACCTTAATTTCACGGTTTGTGGGACATTCTGCTCTGAACCACCTGTAACAGCATCTGAAATACGCAAATTCAGAAATTCCCAAAGCTTCCTCAGAGGGACACTGAGAGATATCTCTGGAGGGTATTTGCACCAAGGAGGGATAATAGTGAAGTGAATGAGCAGAAAAATGAGGGCGATGCGAGACGGAAGACACAGGAGGAGCTCCCGTGGAGCGGGCTGGAGCGGCCAGGACACTGCTCTACTCAAGGGAGGCGGCGGGGGTGGCCCCTGCAGCCCTGAGGGAGGGCGGGGGCAGAGGCTGCTCCCTCACAGAAAGCCCGAGGGGCACAAGACCCGCCTTGCCATCCCGGCAGCGGGACTGCGGCCGGGAGGAGAAGGAAGAGGAGGAGAAGGAGGCGGGCGGAGGAGGCCGCGCTCCGCCCCTCCGCTCAGGGCGGCCCGAGC